TATTCGTATGTATTTATGATTGCCAGAGGGTGCTGTGCCAGCGCAGTTGACGCCTGCACGTATCAGTAATAAGAATGGCAAACACGAAGCACTGGATATATCTAAGGTGATAGATAGCTGAAACTTACTTTAATATTTCGACGTTGAAAGATTTAAGATTTTTGAACTTAACAAATTTTAAGATTTTAAATTCAACAATTTGAATTCTAAATGGTAAGATTCCAGACAACTGAAATCCTGTTTTTGGCTATTACCCTAAAAGTCTCGAGGTCTGAATTTCATGGGGTTAACGAGACGTATTATTGTGCATAGCAGCACAGTTGCTGCCAGTGGCGTGACCGAAAAGTACATCAACACACACACGTACCCACACATACGCACTCTCTCGCACGGACACACACATTCACGCACGCAAAAATGCGGTGCGGAGCTTATCTTCCGCACACTGACTTACTGTGGCATTCGTAATAATGAGCTCGAAATCGGCCTGGAATTGATCGAGGGTACAATACTCGAGGTTCTCCACCTTACGTCCCATGGTAGCGAAGTCCATGGGGTGGCTAATGGTATCCAGATAGTCTTCAACCTCCTGAACATCCACAGGGTAATGGAAGAACGCTCTGGAGGAAAGGAGGATGGAACAGGTACAATCAATATAATTGGGGAGATGTATATGGTATATATATATATATATATATATATGACACATCAGACGGCCTGCCTATGCAAGCACGTAACGAAAATTTTACAGTCATCGTGTATGGCATCACAAACCAGAAGTCACAACACACACCAAGATGTATCTGTATATTGTACTCATCGACGTTTTTTATTTTCGAATAAATTTATACACACATAGTTCGCAATAAATACCCCGCCCAGAATCCGGTCACCTCCAGCTCCAACGTCAGGCGCTACATAAATAAATCAGTCCATACACCACAACACGCACATGCATCTACGCAAAACTAACTACACGCTCATATCCGTGTGCACATGTACCACACCATGCACACGCACTCACCTCCAGCTCCAACGTCAGGCGCTACATAAATAAATCAGTCCGTACACCACAACACACACATGCATCTGAACAAAACTAACTACACGCTCATATCCGTGTGCACAAGCACCACACCATGCTCACGCACCTGGTGTCGAGTTTGCGCAAGCTGTCTAACAGTTGGGACAAGGCAGCCACCAGCGGGCACAGTCGTTTCAGTGTAACTGAGCGTTGTATCGTCACGAGTTCTTTCTTCAGCCGTTCGCGTCGGACTGTAAACTCCGCCAGAATACGCAGACGCTCGAGCACAATCCGCAGTTTTTGTATTCTAAAAATAGATTTTTGTTTTTGTTTTTCAAAAGTCAGAATTTCCGTTAGTTTGTGTGCGAATAAGTGAGTGGTATTGGGCGGATGGAGGATAGAATTTGTGTAAGTGTGTACGTTTAAGTGTGAAAATGTATGCGTGTGTAAGGGACAGGATATACCTACAATAATCACTTTTTATGCACACCTCCGCGGCGTCCAATTCAATTGCAAAGAGATGTTATCGCGATCCAAATATACTTAGCCTATGTACATCATTGATCTGTGACTTAGCTATAAGGTGACTGATAGAATAAGCGTTTATTGCAGAAACTACACTTATGCCTTCTCCCTTGATTCTTCAGACGCTCAGGCACAGTAACAGATAGTACCACAAAGAAGGAAATCAGAATACTATCCGGCCTACAAGAAGTTATGCCACTCACCAGCACCCACACGTGACTGGAACAAAGGCATATACATACCACAAACGGGCATGTATACATACAAGCACACAATACATACACTCATACACACACACACACACAGCATACACACACACTCACCGTTGTTTGAGCTTGTTGCCGCCGCCGTCCAGTACTTCAACATCGAGTGCATCTCCGTCTTCACCCTTGAACGCCGTGTGCAAGCGGCGCAGCAACGGCACACCGGATCGCGACTTACGCTTGAGAAACCTGAGTCATGTGCACACATAACGTACACCACATACGTATATTGGGCGAGATAGTAGAATGAGAAAGTGATGGGGAAAACTCTGAGCAGGTAACCCATACATATCACTACCCTTACAATTGGTACACACTCATACATACGCGCATAAGTTTATTAACTGAGCCACGTAGAGCAGCTTTACCCTTGAGATTAGCTAGAACGACACCTAGTTACTTCAATCACAGTATGGACGCACATATCTACAACTGCAAACATATGTATATCTTAAACAACTCCTCAAAGAGTCAGCCTGTCTGGATGTCGCATTCATAACTGTCAACGATATCGTGGGGTACAGTCACGTGTGCATGTACACGTATTATTATTCCCTACTATAGTACTAAATGCAGATAAATTTACACAAGTCGATGTACCAATTTAAAATCATATTCTTCAGAAAGCTCACTTTGCCCAGTTACCCGGCTAAGTATCTACCCACCACTGTCAGAGTTACCACTAGTACATTCACGCATACACACATACATAAACACATACTCGACCCAGAACGTACTACACACAGACACAACACACACGTCAACGTACCAATAAGGCATCACTTTCTTCAGGAAGTCGGCTTTCCCGTGCACTTTGTCCTTATACCCCGCCAAGAACGCGCTCATCTCCTTCAACGGCACCGTGGGTACAGCTACCAACGGGACGGCGTCATTGACCGCCACCGCAGACACGCCTACGCCAGACTCAATCAGAAGCTTCTTGAGCGTGGCGGATATAAGTACCTTGGGTCGGCCCGTTGTGGTATGGATTGTACTAACCAGCGTAGCCCCCCAGTCTTTTGGGCTGTGAGCGTCGCAATAGCTCTCCGGGATGTTGCACATCTTCATGTACAGATTGGCGGTTCGCGCACATGTGGCGTGGTAGGCGGCGTAGCAGGTCTATAAATAGAACACATGGTATAAGTCTCCATGATTAAGTACACACGATGGCATGGTGTGGAATCACACGCAGTGTGGGGAAAGGTGGTGAGAGAGGGCAGCTAGACCTAACCTTGCACAGAGCTTAACAGTCCGCGCACACGTGGCATGGTGGGACGGTGTAGCAGGTTTACTAGATGTACATGCAGGAATGTAGTCTAAATATAGCACGTAGTAAATATACCTACATAAGTACACTCATACATACACTATACTCAATACGTATGGGAGTATCAGCGCATATCTCTTTGCCGTCGAGTGTTGAATGCAAGCACCCACATTGACAAGTGTGCGGTTGTAGCATTAAGCCTCCCAACTGCCCTAGATCCCGAATGAGTTATGTTGCACAGATATACACAGATACAGTATAAAAATAAACAAACCATACAGCATATACATCAATAAACCATACAGTACATACATAAATAAACCAGACAGCATATTCATACACAAACCATACAGTATGTACATAAATAAGCCATACAGCAGATACATAAATAAACCATACAGTATATACATAAATAAACCGTACAGTATGTACATAAATAAACCATACAGTATGTACATAAATAAACCATACATTATGTACATATATAAACGATCGTAAACATGCATAATTCCGTTTGTACATATCGCCTTACCTTAGTCGAGCATTGGATGCAAGCGCCTGCGTTGTTGAGACCGCAGATGTAGCATTTCAGCTTCCACCGTGCTGCGGGTATTTTGTCCACATCCATGATTGGTTCTAGATACTGATCGTTACCGAAATGAACCTCAGGTATCCACATGGCACAGATTACATGCATCCATTCGCCTGTTTGCACGCGAGTGGGAGAACAACCAGTTGAGATGGTGGGTATGTCGAAGTGTGTGACAGAGAGAGCGAGTGTGTGTTTCATATGTATACCTTTGAATGTGTATATGCACGTGTTCATGCATAAATGTATGTATATTATTTCGTGTATGTATGTATGTATGTATGTATGTATGTGTGTATGTATGTATGTATGTATGATATTTTTTCTCTCGCATGTTTGCATGTGTGAATGTGTATAAGTAAATGCGTGAGTAGGTAGGTGAGTGTGTGTGTGGGAGCAAAGGGAGAGATCGATGGCTCGTGATGTACAGTAGGTAGGACTATGAGAGAAATACGCTTGTGTCAATGAACTGGTTATGACTACAGATACCGATACAAACTCAACCAAACGATACACAACAAAGAAATAGAAATAATATACACTGAAGCGAAGGTAGTGTTAAAAATCGGGATAGAGCTACATGAAACTGTACGTAGAACTTTTATTTATATGGACACACACACACACACACACACACACACACACACACACACACA